AGTGAGGCCAGAGCCGTCTGCAGAAGATCTTCGGCCTTGTTGACATTTCCATGGTTCCGTGCTTGTTGATGGCAGCGGTATTTATATTCTTGCAGGCGATGACGGTGGCTAGCGCAGTTGTTGTGACGACAACGACCACGATGACCTGCTACTGCTAGCATTGGTGCAGGTGTTGTCGTGGTGGTTTTGCAATGCTGCTGCTGCCGCCACTGCCACAGCTACTGCTGCCGCTGGGCTGGCGCAAATTTTACACATAGATCCTCTTCGTTTTGATGCATGCCGAGACACGAACACAACAAGCCTTAGCATGCATATGTCCTTCAAATCGGCGGTGCCAGAACACAGGGTGAGGACCGCTCGGGCAGTGTCAGCTTCGCCACAGACCAGGCCTCATCAGATTCAGGGTTTAGGGTTTATAGGAGCTCGGAGCTCGGGGGCTGCGGGTCTCGCCCCCCCCTCCCTAACCGGAAACCCATTCTTCATGCTACCTGCCTGGTATTCTGCATGATCCCGCTGCCGCATCCACACTACCATCATGAGGCCTGAGAAACAAATCCCAAGCATGATGATGGCTTCCAAGCGGCAGCACCCGTCAGACTGACAGAGGCATACGACGGCCACTTGTTTCAGATGCCATCCATCATCATCGGAACCGCTCGTCATGGTGGAGACAAGCTCGAAAAGAGCATGAACAAATCAACAAACTTGGCCCAAATTAATCCGGCGCACCAGCTTCCCCCGCACACTCTGGGTTCAACTTTCACCTCTGACATCAAACTCTCATGGTAGTGGTCAGGGTCCGCGATCCTAAACTGGGCCAAGGGACATCCTTCAAAGGGGAAAAGGAGGGACCCTTAATAAGGATCCCTAGGTATATACCGTTAATATAGCCGTTATATACCCATTATATAGCCCATTATAGGGTAGGGGTCCCCCTACTTTTCCCCTTTGAATCCTACATCCTGAGAGCTGGGCGATGTTCGCCCAGGTTCGGATCGGCACCTCTAAAGTAAAAGCCAGAAAGTTGGAATATGGTTATCCTAAACCCTTCTATGGTAAATTATAAGGTATCCTACCCTGAAACCATATTCCAACTTTCTGGAGTTCCCTTTACCCGATCTAGCCGCACATGCATGGAAACTACGAGCAATTAAGTCACCCTTTTTTACACCTGGTCTACAGATAACACCCTAAAGCCTAAACCAAGTCCACATCCCCGAAAATGGCCAGATAAGTTTCCCCAACACAAAAAACTAAGTATTAAGCACAAGTTAGCATCACAGCGAACTCGTAATCGAAAGCAAACAGCAACTGCCACGATAAGCTCATCGCCCTTCTAGCGGCGAAGGAAGGAACAACAAAACAGCAGTAAAACAAGTTCAGTTGACATTACTAGTAGCACCGACGGCAGGAACTCAGGTAGACTGCGAAATTTACGGGCTCCCGGAATAGCATGAAACGGCTTCGGTCAGGAAAGGAAACATTGGCGTCGTCTCCTAAACCCAGAAGTCCTTTTCCTGCTACTGGACTCAAGCCTGGCCTAGCCAGACGACGACCTGCAATGATCTTGACTGAGGCCGACACACAGAAGTCCCCAAACTCTAAACTCTTCAAGCCTGTACACTCCTGAATTCTGAACTCTGAACGAGTCATGCAGAACCATCGACACTACTGGCATCCACCGCCTGCTGCTTCTCCCGCTCCAGCGCCAAAGCCTGGGACAGCCTGGAAGGCTTTCGCCCGTCTACACAGGATTACACAGGCATGGCTTCTGAAGCTGTGGATCGCAGCTAGATGAATTTCACAGCACATCATTACATCCTTCTTTGACTGCGGCTCTTGCGTCATGTAGCGCTCCAAGTGCGAAGCAAACTGTGCAAGCAGCAGTGTATTGGAACCGCAAGAGGACAATGGCATGCAGCACTTACAAAACAAATGCTACAGCAACTAGAAACCCCTTTGATGATGTGTGAGAACGCCGCAGATTGAGGGCGCGGCCGGCTCTTCAACCTTTCTGCGAAAGATTACAGGCGGAGCCCGGGCCCGCGGGAGTTCTATGCCTATGTCATGTAGGAGCCCGCCCGGCTGGCTCTGGCTACTCAGTTCTGCTGCGGTTCACACTTCAGTGACATGGTGTAACCCTTTTGCTGCAGGCTTGCTTGCAAGGACGCCTGGTAGTTTGCCGCACCCTAAACCCTAAACCCTTTTTTCCACAGGCTTGATTTGTGCTCGCCCGGCCAGAATCCCCAAGCAAACCCTAAACCCTAAACCCAAACCGGAAAGGGCCGTTGCAAACGAGGTGCTCCATGGCCAGGGGTGGGCTCGCCCGCCGCCTCTTCCGAGACCACACGCGCTGCTTTTTTTTAAAAATAGGGGACCCTAATATAGTACCCTAAATAGTAGGATCCTTATTATAAGGACCCCAGAATAAGGTACCCCGAATTTTCTGAAAGCCCGCATCCACATAAGAGTAAATGGTGCCTCTTCAAGGTTGGCACCCCATGCCAACATCAAAAACCGCTCTATTTATGGGCCTTCCACGAACACCGAAGCGGACAAATATGCAAGCTACCTTTGCCAACGTCACGATTTTTTTGGCACTACTTCAAACTCCTGATGGTAAAAACAGTTGCAGCATAGATAGACTTTGTCCACCAAGTGTACTTCCCATTCGGTACGCAGTCGGCCTAAGAATATACAGGCCGTGGCATACCCATCTCTCTCTCTCTCTCTCTCTGTCTCTCTCTCTCTCTCTCTCTCTCTCTCTCTCTCTCTCTCTCTCTCTCTCTCTCTATATATATATATACACATGGATCACATATTGGATGACCTCCACCCCCAAAGCCCTCTATCAAGCTCGCAGCTCAGAAAGCCTGACGAAACTCCGTAGTAAAACTCCGCAACATGATCTTCGAGGCTCGCGGGAAAAATCAGATCCAAATCAGATCCGATCCCGATGCTGCATTCTTTCGCTGTGACATCCGAAATTGCAAAGCCTACCCCTTCTTTCCCGTTGACTGCTAAAGCCCGGAAGTGGAGAGATTCACTGAACTGCTGTGCATCTTCACCTCTATATTCTTCAGGAGCTTGATTGATTAGTTTTCTAAAGTCAGTAGTTTTGAAAAGTCTAAGAAATATGCTAAACGTAAGGAGAAGAACATCAATACCACAGCAAAAAGTGATTATTGCTATTGCAGTTAATACTACAATTTGATACAAACGACTGTGCAAAATGGACCCTAAACCCTTTTTGAGCAGGGGCTGCAATGCACGCCATGCACTCAGCCCTCATTAACCCTAAAGCCCTTTTTGCAGCTGGGCTCTTAGAGCCCTACACCCTAAAGCCTAAACCCTCAAGCCCTGAAACCCTAAAGCCTAAGATCAAGCCCTAGCCCCGCTGCCCTGCCAGGCTGCCTTCCTGCCGGCGAGCGGACCTGGGCTGCGTCTCGGAAGTTGCCACTATTATTGCTGTTATCATCAGAGTGATAGGAAGAATACAATCATGATACACTGATAACACTAAAACTAACAGTAGGAATAGTATATAATATCATGATACACTGATAATACTAAAACTAACAGTGCTAATAGCTAGCAGTTCTGACTATTATCGGACTTAAGGGGTTACAGTCTTCCCTTACTGCCAACTACTTCGCAAGGTTTCGGCGCTCACCCTCGGAGAAGGGGTTTGAGGTTTAGGGGGTTACGGTTTAGGTGGTTTACTGTACCTGAACCCTAAAACAGTGCTGCATGTAGAATGATGGCCCTTTAGCGATGTTAGGCTGGGGGACTACGCAGGGTTTAGGCTTTATCACAACCCGGCGCAGGAAGATGAGGGTTCAGGGTGTACAGGGAACTCCAGAAAGTTGGAATATGGTTTCATGGTAGGGTACCCTATAATTTACCATAGAAGGGTTAGGATAATCATATTCCAACTTTCTGGCTTTTACTCTAGAGTGTAGCGCCCACTTACGCAGTTCGGACATCAAGGAGGCTCCTCAGCATCAAAGTGCAGGCTCCGCAGCACCAAGACAGATATAATACTTCCCTTTTTTGGCATCAGCAGAGATCACTTCCACGAGTCTGTTCTCAATCTTGCTCTTTCGACCGGCGGAGGATCCCTAAACTTCTCCAGAGCTGCGGCTGCTGGGCTTCGTGAGATCTCGGATTGAATGCACCCCGCGCCATGCCCTTTACAGTAGGGTTTGGTGTTTAGAGATGTTGGATTTGAAGCTCATGCTGGCATGTTGGGGTCTTGGGCCTTGGGGCACTTGATGCGGCAGCTATTGCACAAATTCTGGAGCTACTTACTTCTGCCATGCCAACTACAGCCGTCCATTCCAGCAAGACTGTCCAACAGCAGCAAGGTCAAAGCGGAAGCACTGTACATCTGAGCCCCGCAGAAACCGGCATCGGAAACGTCAGTGACACCAACGAATAGATTCGCTGAACCGGTTGCGTCGAGACGAGACAACCTAGCAGCACCTAACCGTCCCCTTTGACGTATCAAAAATTAAATAGTGTCGCAGACATAACTACATACACACATACAATACATACACCACATGGACATACGTACACATACATACCCATACGTACACGTACATACGTGCTTACAGATGGACCATATGGATATGTATATCTATTTGTTTATACATACATACATACATACATACATACAATATGGATATGTGCAGGTGTGCATGTTGTACATTATGCGTGCCCTGTCTTCAAGTGTCGCGGCTCCATCCTGCCACAGTCCTAGTCATGTGATTGTGCAGGTGCAAGCAGGTAGCCCTAAAGGAGCTTCGCAACATTTGGTTTCTAGGGAGCCTTGGGAATCTGGGAACCCTGAATCCTGCACCAAAAACCTAGGCAATATGCGGGGGGCCTTAATATTAATCATAATGGGGCTTGGGGTCTACGATTACAGCGACACTGCGTAAGGACTAGGCGTACTACGAGAGCTCCATATTAACCTTCCAGCGCTCAGGCAGGCGTCACGCAACGGCGGCCCAAGGCTCACATACCCTGGGCCGCCAAGAGGTCAGCGAAACTTGCAGCCGCTTTTCGGAGTTGGCCCAGAATGGCATAGAGCTCCTCGGGTTTTTCCAAGCATCGCCAACCGTCCAACATGTCATGTGACTGTCACATGCCTTTTGGAATATATACATCCAGGATCACGGTCCCAGTACAACACTTGTCGCAATCGCAATTCTTACCCAATGAAACAACCTCCAGCATGGCTGGTACTCTTGCCGCTGCTGCTGTCGTGCTGTGATGGTGCTCGTGGCAGCAGCGAGGCATTCGGCGTGGGTGCAGATATGTGCAGATATCATCATCATCATCATCAGCAGCATCATAATTAAGCATCATGTTGACAAACACTCCTTTCAAGTCAAAGACAGACCGTCTCTCAATACGGTGCACGTCTGTCCCAAATTGAGTCAGGATGCCTCGCCCCTTCGGTCGAAGCGGCATACGAGGAGGTTCGACTGCGTGCACATGGCCACAATGCCCAAACCTAGTCTGTGCCACGCCGCTTGGCTTTCGAAGAGCCGCTAGGACTAGGATTCTCAAGGGGTTCTTCTCAAGCATTGCAAGTCTGATTCGTTTACTAGCTTCCTGAGCTCTGGGACACTGGGCATTCTGGAGCTGGACCGTCGGGAGCTTCGGGGTTTTGGGACCAATTGCAAGCCCCAAGTCCCTCGCGGGTCCACTCTTTGCTGACCGCGATGAGAGTTGGATACAGGTCGTCCTGCATGAGTCTGCAAACCGAGCCAGAGCTGAATGACGGCTGCAGCTGAAATTCTGTAAAGAAAGCCTTGCTGCATGATGCCTATCTTGCGACTTTACAAGTCGGAGCAACCAGGTCGAGATCAACCGGTAGACTGCCGCTAGCCTTTTCAGGCTTGCAGCAACGATCACGACAACACCACGCAGTAACACCACCAAGACCGCGACCGTGCAGTCTGGTGAGAACCAGGTTCGGTCCGTGTCGTGGCGAATGATCCGCATCTTCTTCCCGGCCAGCCAGAAGCCGCCCTCAGGAGCCTGGCCCGTCCTGGCGACATGGAGAACTCTGGGCAGGGCCTGGGGTTTGGCACCGCCATGCAGGTTCAGATTAACGATGTATACCGGCAAACAAACATGATGGTTGCGGTGCTACCTTCCAGGTTCAATTCAGTCAATGAAGCAGGCGAGTTGCTTACAGGCTCCTCGTGCTTGAGGCATCAGATTGCGACTCCTGTCACTCTGCCGTGAAATGCTGTTGGAGTGTTTGGCATTTGAGGTGTGTGGGTGGTCCCCAGTACATCGTTATTACGATCTCTTCGGTGTTGCCGAGAATCTGAACGGCTTGGAGAAGGCAGCTGCCCTCGCGGACCAACCTCGACTCGAGGCTAAACCGCCCGCTACTGCACGAGCTGACCAACAGCAACAACATCAGCAAAAACAACAACATCAACAGCAACAGCAACAGCAACAACAACATCAGCAACAACAACAACAACAACAACAACAACAACTACTACTACTACTACTACTACTACCACTACCACTACCACTACCACTACCACTACCACTACTACTACTACTACTACTACTACTACTACTACTACTACTACTACTACTACTACTACTACTACTACTACTACTACTACTACTACTACTACTACTACTACTACTACTACTACTACTACTACTACTACTACTACTACTACTACTACTACTACTACTACTACTACTACTACTACTACTACTACTACTACTACTACTAGCTACTACTACTACTACTACTAGTACTACTACTACTACTACTACTACTACTACTACTACTACTACTACTACTACTACTACTACTACTACTCCACAACTGCGACCACAACTACAACCACTGCAACAACAACCACCACCACCACCACCACCACCACCACTACTACTGCTACTACCACCACCACCACCACCACCACCGCTACTACTACTACGATATGAATAATGGTGTCCTATCGACTGCTACCACGTACTACTGCCAAGTCGACGACCACGAACGCTGCTGCCAGGACTACGTAAACGAATGATTTACCTTGGGTTAGTAGGGAATGGAGGAATGGGGAACAATTATAACTACTATTACTACCATTCTTCCATTCCCTACTAACCAAAGGTAAGATAACCGAATGATGGCATCCGAAGCTCGGAAGCAACAGCCGGGAGCTGAGACGAGCGGCATCTTTGCCTCCGTTCCGTCCTCGCGTGTGACCTCGTCTTGGTCACATAAGGGAGCTTCCGAGAATTATATAGCGGTACCTTATATCCTACTATTTACGCTCTCGCAACTCGGACATGCCTGACGAGGTCTCTGGTGCAATGTGCTTTGACGGTCGGCTTCTACTGGCTGTCCTACTATTTAGGGTATTATAGTAGGGTCCCCTGTTTTCGGAAACTCCCCTTAATCAGGACGTGAGTATTTAACAAATAAGATACCATGACGACGACGAGGAGGCCACAAGCTACCATGAACGGAACTGCCTACTCAAACGGCACCTGTTGGATACTACTGCTCCTGGGGCTATCATCGCCATCGAATCCGTCATGATACGCAAGCAGGGCTTGCCTCACGCATCGAGTCTTCTTCCCGGAGCAGCTCAATTCCTGGCAACTCCACATGGAAGCTTCGGCAGTATTTGTTGTAGTGCCATAGTAGTTTGGTAGTATGTAATACCACAGTATGATTCTCCTAGTAATAGTTGTATTTGCAGTACTGTTATGACCATAACAGTGTTATAGACATGTCCGTACTGCAGGGGCCTGCAATTGATCTGTAATCGGAGGGTTATATGCCTTCCCGTCCCCTTCCCCCACCCGGGTTAGATCAGGCCCCTTCCCCATTTGGCCCGCAAAACACAGCACAGGGCCTCGCCGTGAGGACGCGAAGAAGAGGCCATCGGTGAGAGAAGCAATGCCCACGGCCGTGAAGTGGTAGGTGTCCACCAACAAATCCTCGCCCACTTCCAGCAATTCCGGGACCCTAAACCCTAAACCCTAAACCGCCAAAGCTGGTAACACCAGATTTCGACCCAGGCAAGGTCTGATCTATGCCATATATCCGCACACGCGCTGGGGTCAATGTGAGAGTCACTGGCATCTACATGCATACATATACAAACATACACATGTATGCAACAAATATATGTGCCCATACATCCACATGTCCGAACCAACATTTGCAGTCAACTTGTGATGTACACACCTACATATGTGATCAAGCGTTGTCGTCCTCTGCCCATGCTGTGACTTTGTGGGAATGAACATGCGATGTGTGTGCATACGCATAAGTCATACGATGCCTGTGCATATGCAAAAGTTGGACAGTAAGCACGATATCAAGTATATATAATATTAGAATAAAACCATATACGCAGACATACAAGGTGACATGTTGTGACAGAACCACGGAAAGAGATACAATCAGAAGGATGAGGCGATGCCCAGAAAAGGCCTATCGGCTCGTTGACAGAATCATTCTTTCGTCCAGCGGTCTACATGCATGGACCTTGGTGGCCCTGCCCTGCCCCTCCCCTGGCCCTGCTTGCCGTGCCATGATCACGTCGGTCTATGTGGGGGTTTCCGAAAATAGGGGACCCTAATATAGTACCCTAAATAGTAGGATCTTTATTATAAGGACCCCTAAAAAAGGTAGCCCTATTCTCGGAAACTCCCATGTGACAGCTAATGCCCGCCTGTCTGTGTGTGTGCGCTGTTTCATGCACACATACAATGCCCGACTACACAGCTGCATGGCAGGACAACTGAGACCGCAGGCAATGAACAGCAATTTGCCTGCAGCTTCTCGTCCCATTTGCGAGAAACCATGGCCTGCAGCCAGGCCCAATGCTTTCCACTGTGAAACCATGTGGCGGCCACAGCAGTGGGATGAGTGCGGGGTATCGCCGAATCCATCCATGAACCCTTCGCCGTCGGCATGGTGCATGCCATCTTGCCGTATGATCCAAATCTTGGAGTGAGCACGTAATGGTTCCCGGATTTAGGTTCAGCCTCAGCATGTCCCTGAAAGCCTGACACCCGAACTCTGTAGCCCTAGAATCCTTTATCTCATGTCATCAGAAAGGATCGAAAGCTGTCAAGTCATACGCGGACACCTTCCACACGCCTGTGGGTAGGCTTGTGCATCTAGGTACATCGTTGTGCCGTCACAGCTGCTCTCGTTGTACAGCCGAAGCAATGACAAACCAAACACAGGGCTCGGCCCCGCAGTGCAGGCTAAATACATTTCGCAGGCTTCCTTCCTTGAACACTCGAGTCGTAAGGCTGATTGGCTTCAGTTTCGGAACTTACTTACTTACTTGGGAGTTTCCGAAATGGAGGAACCCAAAAGATAGTACCCTAAATAGTAGGATCCTTACTATATGGACTCAAAATAAGGCACCCCTAATTTTCGGAAACTCCCACCTCAGCTTTGCGAAAACAAAATCAACAGACCTCAGTCTCCGTGCAGCCACGGCACGGTCACTTCGCAGGGGCCGGGGGCTCCTGGCAGCTGGCCAACCTCGAAACGGGGTTGCAAGGAGCATCTTCACAAGGAAAGGTCTTCGGACTTCGTTAAGCTTACCTTAATGGTTTGTAGGGAATGGAAGAATGGTAGTAATAGTAGTTATAATGGTACCCCATTCCTCCATTCCCTACTAACCAAAGGTATCTAAGGGATCAAGAAATTCAGTCGCCCATCCAAACGGAGTGATAGCTATCGACCGGCAGGGCTTCAGTATGCTTCAGTGGTGATTTCTGCAGGTGCTGAGCTCCAAGCTGAAAGCGCAGCGGAGTCATGACTGCTGTTGAGTCGTAATCTCCTCACTTGTCTCTCCTTCGTTCCACATAGCTTAAATAGGACATCCTTGGAACAAAACTTCAACACCAGGCCCAAGGTTTGTTGAGCCTTGGAGAAACCAACGCTACGGTTCACATCGTGAGCGCCAGCTTCCGGTGGCGTCTGCCCATGGGCACCCACAGACCGAGGTGTCGGTGACATCAGCACTCACTCGTCACAGTCGTTTGTGACCGTCAGGACTGAGCTTTCAATACTGTTGCAGCAGTGGCCAGAACTCACACTTTCGTTTTGGCTGTTCTTCAAGATTCGCACTCCTGCTGCCACGTTATGCTTGTTGACACAGTCTGGACCGCCCGGGAGGGTCGTGGAACACGTGCCGTCAAAGGTGAAGCTGTCGCCCGGCGGGCCGGCTACCTTTTGATTGAAGTTAACAACGCGGGGGAAATCGCTGCGGGCGATGCCGACCGTGTAAGTGCAAACAGGTGGCCCCGGCATGGTCGGGCCACAGTCGCTGATCACCCGCACGATGTGGTTCGTGACAAAGTTGCAGCAAACGCCGGTGCCCACAATGTCACCCGTGCTGTTCTTGATGACGCGAATGGCTGTGATGTTGTGGGTGTCGTCGCAGAAGCCGGCCCCATTTGCGGTAGTGGAGCAGAAATCCTCGAAGTCGCGTCCGGTCTCGAAGGTCGCCCCGGGGGGCCCAGTCGCTGTTCGATTTAGCCACGGTGTATTGGCACCTTGGTCGCTGCGGCTGATCTCGATCACATAGTTGCAAAGACTGGGCAGTGTGACGGCATCGGCAGTAGTGGACGTGGTTGTGCTTTTTGCCTTGTAACCATACTTACCATATGTGTATGAGTAGGCTCCATTCTTACCACGTCCACGGCGACGACGCCATCGACGAGGCTTGTTCAAGCCCTGCTTCGAAGCCGAAATGTCACCGGAGTCCAGCTGCAGCAAAGCGGTCTCGTCCGTCTTCGCGGAACTGCAACCATCGATGCTGGCTGTGGCACATGCCGCGGCCGCCTCTCCAGCACACACACGGCCAAGCAAAGCGAGCACAACCACGGCCCGTGAAGACATCTGCATGGCGTGTCGGGGGAACGACTTCGAGGCTTAGGTCCGCAACACTACTTGAGCCCTCTCCACCAGAGGCTTCGAGATGCCTTGGTGCAGAAATTTCTGCTAAGGTTCACGGTTGCGAACATGACCTAGGCCGAAGTGGGCTTTGCTGTCACAAAGAAAGGTAGTCCAGTACTGGCAACCCTGGATACTTCTATTCCCAGCTGCGACTACTGCAGCTTCTGCTGCCGCTTGCTAGCGCAACCACCACTGGGTAATATGGGGGGCCTTAATAATTAGAATAGGGTTTTGGGGCCCCTTTTACCATCATTATAATAAGGAACCCCAAATCCCTATGTTAGCATTCTCAGCTTCGACGGATCTGAACAAGGGGGCAAAATCCTTTCAAAAGCCTTGCTCCCGGTGCCCACCAGCTCCATTTTTCACCCTGACGGTCCCAACCCTACTTCTGTAAGGTCTTCTTGTCTCTTGCTAAGTGACGGGATGAAGCTCTCCTCGAAACGAGCATGTGCTCTATATATATATATATATATATATATCTATCTCTTGCCTCCTTCCTCCATTCTTAGGCTTCCGGAATGGCACACGACAGGCCTTCTGCAGGTCACGCAGCAAGTCTGTGCCAGAGAGCAATGCCACCTGCCAAGTCAAAGCCGCTGTTTCCGGAGTTGATAACTCTGTTATATCGTTGCTTCATAGTCTCTTGTAGCATGTCTTGTTATGTTCTACGGTATTGTACTTTAGCGCATTCCATTATATGTTACATCACACCATGCTATATGATATTACACGGTACTATACCATGTTATATCACGTCACATTACATTGCATTACATTAGCACATATTCCATTTAAGAATATAGGTAACATTGTACTCTTCTGCTTCAATTTATGTCAAGCCTTTCTCTTCCTAGCTCCGCTTTGCGAGGCCTGCAAACGTCACCCTTCAGCTTGGTCGTGCTGTTGACATTAAGCGGCTGGGAGTTGCAAGTCCTATATAAACTCTTTCGTCTAAACCCTACATAAACCCTAAGCAACACTCCAAACTTAGCCGAGTCTTCGGGAACCGGGTCTTGGCGCGCTCGGTGGTGCTTTGAGGAAGTACATGGAGGTCTGAGCTGGTTGGCCCCGACACCTCGCGGCCGCTGCCAGAAACATCGTCTTGAGTCTTCATCTCAACTGCATTGTGCTCCAATGTCGCTTCTGTTCGGATTCTGCTTTGAATATAGGTCCACACTGCCTTTGACGGCGCATGACTTCACGACTCAGAGTTGAAGCTTCAACCCGACTTGTCCACACGTCGGGTTTTGACAAGGTCGGGGCGTGGGGCCAAAAGCTTGGCAGCACGAGTGGTATGGTCAAAAGGGAGCCCTGCTCGATGCGAACCAGTCGCAGTAGAAAGGTCTCAAGTCTAAATATCAATGACATCCTCTGGCAATCCCTTTCTGTTTACACGAAAGTAGACCACAAGACCCTGTCCTTCTTACTCAGGCCCTTACATGAGTTAAGACGTGCCGGCCTTGCAAGCTTAGATTCTGAAGCTTTGACAGCTCTTACCTTCGCCAAA